GGAAATAATCTTAGGTCGATGAAGGACACAACGCAATCAGAAACAGAAATATGGCGCTAATCAAGACTGACCAGGTTCTGGAGAACACAGAAGACTGAGCAGCATCAAGTCCGACTTGACCACAGAGCGTCATGCATCACGGGGATGCAGTGGGAACTCTCCTCCTTCATCACACAAACTCATACCGGAAGAGTTTATTCAGTCACCAAGGCTTGCGTAATAATTTGGTGAAACACAATCGTGAATCGTTGCATTGTGTATCAAGTTAAATTTTATAAACTGGAAACCCTTTATCTTCCTGCTTTAGCTTGATGAAAGACATGCACAAGGTATTTCTAAATTCAAACCAGAAACTGCTGACCACCTGTTTGGACTCGGTAATTAAGAAATACTAATATAATGCATGGCGTTTAACTTGAATTACGCATCATAAGGATTTGGTATGAGAACAGGACCCCAGTATCTGTGATAAGGAAATACTGATATGATACATGGTGTCTGACTAAAATTACGCATAAGGATTTGGTATGAGAACAGGACCCCAGTATCTGTGATAAGGAAATACTGATATGATACATGGTGTCGGACTAAAATTATGCATAAGGATTTGGTAAACGAAAGTAAAACATAAACGGAGCAATGAACAATGCATAATTTCTGGAGCTGAGGAAAATAGACTTAACAAATCACTGTAGTTACAAGATTGGTTTATTCTTTAAGTCTGAAAAGTCACAGAAATTTGAATAATCTCCCCTTGACTTCCCAGTATTCCATAAATAATACTGTCAACACGCCCACATGTGTCCAGGTAGGTGTGAAGGTCCTCAGAAGCAACATCTCTTGAGGTATAAGCTCCTCACACTGACACTCCAGAACTCCTAACTCTCCAGAACATGCCTTCCTGCTACACACTGCTGTTTTGACAGAGGGCTGGTTATAATACTACTCAGTCCAGGATACTTGTGGATTTATGTTGCCCTTGCCCATTGGCCATAAACTACATGCTACTTTGAATAATAGGCCTGGTCATATAGCTGAGTAATTTCTACTTGAGTTTAACTTGTCTTCGACTTCCCCACACCCCCAACCCCTCATCTCAGAACAGCAGCACACAAGCACCTGTAGGTAATCAGTACACAACCAGCTGCTGCCAGTTTGACAACGGAACCACACATACTATTAACCAAACAACTTCTTAAATAGCACTTGATAAATTAGTTTTTCAACTGTTGTAAACTTTACAAACTTGTTTTTCTGCTTCTGTAACTTCATTAAGAGTGAGATGAAGCACTGTGCCCTGTCATTCCTGTCTACCACAATATTCCAAGATATCGCTCACTGTAATAAAACCTAGTCAGTTAACATAAATCAAACCCTGTGAAACAAAGCATCGCCAAATGGCCCACTGCGGCAATTATTCAAGTTCTGAATAAAAGCACCATGCTATATCCCTGTGGTATAATATCAACAAGAATAATGAAACCAACGCCAGTGCTTATTCATAACAAAGGTAAAAACTGAATCTGAATATCTCAGTGAAGCTTCCTTGCACACTTAGTTCTGTGTTATAGGCTGTGATGTAAAATCACCTGACATGCCAACACTTACTTACTGACTGAGTGTCTTAAGGTAAGGCCAAAACAGAAATAATTGTTTCAATCTGGTTAGCACATTCAAACCATTCTCCATCAGGTCAACCACAGTACAAATTGACCTATTCAAGAAAATTAATTTATTCTTACGTCAGACATGACAATATTTTCTAACTACATTCCTGTTCCTGTTTTCATCACTGACCAATCTCATCATGATGTCTTGATTCAAAATACATATATTTTTCTTATTCCTGTCCCAAATGCCTTACCGACCCAAGGAACACTTTCCATCCAATACTGTACAGTAACATAGACAAGAATAAGGACACCTGTATGGCCTTCAGCATAGTGCACACTGTTTGAAAAAGCTGTGTACATTATACACACCACATTGAATAAGAACACTCTGTAACATCAGCATAGAGTATGTTTCCATATATGAGTGAGTGAGTGAGTTCTACAATGCTCTGATCCAGTCACAAGGCGCCAAGAATGGACATCACACAGTGCACCCAACTGGGCAATAAAACTCTTATCATAGGGATGGCATGCCAGCACTTTAACCACCAGGCTATTCCCTAACCCTGCATCATACACTACATATCTACAGGGGTGGAAATAACCCATTGCCCGACGCCCGAGTCCAGTGTTTTTTTCTGTTGGGCAAGCATATTTGTATATCACACTGTACCGGTGTCCAGTTGACTTTCCAATGTTAATTATGTTGTTTATTTAAAAAATCAACAAGAAAATCGGCCAGTATAGTGGAAAAATTATCAGGGCAAGTGATTTTACTTGTGCCGCTGTACCGGAGTACACTAGCAATTTTAAAGTTATTTCCAGCCCTGATCTACTAATGAAGTGATGAAGTACAAATAAATGTATATTACCTTATTCATGTCTACAAGGTCATCCACGCAATGGGCTGCTCCAAACCCAAAATATAAAAAGTCCTCTTACAAGAACTACTTTAATGAAAGACCTGAAGCATTAACACATGTTATGTTACTTAATCAATGTAAATTAACATGGATCTGCTATATTTGAAAAGACACTGAATGGAGGCCTGTCTGTGTGCTTTGTGATCTATATGGCATTGAGCCTTGAGGACTCCGACATCTTTGTTGGCGACACTTCTGTCTGGGTCAGATACATCCCACAAGTTTATGTAGTTCTTCAGACAAGCGGTCACTCAGGATGAAGTGCAGCAGGTATAGAGGCTGGTATAGAGGAGGATATTGATGGGATTTCACAGTCCACTGCCCCACTGTCTGGACTCAGGGCATACTAACAGCAGGCCTAGCACTTGATAATGTAATACGTCTCAAGCAGGAGCCATTCCGGCCACATTTATGATGGAAGTGGTGGACAATAATGTTGGAAATGTCGCACTGATTGTTGCAATTTGGCGATTTATTCTCTGTCTGGGCTGAATATGAAATCCCTGTCATATGCTGCATGTTATTTTGTCCCATTATAACCACCCACACATAAGCAGTTGACTACACACTAAGAAGAAAGATAAAAACAGGATTTTTAAGTGTTTTCTTGTCGTGCCAAGTGTCTTGGTTCTAATCCCACTTGCCATAAAAAAGTTTGATTCTGTTACATCAGTAAGTGGTAGTGGTATGTTTGGTTGGAATTCTAGAAACCTGAAGCAATTTCACTACTATACTTTTCCTACTGTTCCATTACCTACTTAAGTCTATTAATAACAATCTATATTGAAAGTGGCACCAGACCGTGGGCCCTGATCATTAAACCAGGCTATGACACAAGACCACTGAACCTACTTATTGAACCAAAACATGACCCCCAATCATCAAACCAGACTCTGACACAAGACCACTGAACCTACTTGCCCAGATCCCGAATATCAGATCAGAAACCGAAATATTCATGAGAATATTGCTACGCATAGTAATTCAGCTAATTAATGTTATTAGCCTGGATTATACCTCTCAGTAATCATTTACTTCCATGAATAATTCAGTTACATCATTCACTTCTCTGTTGTACTTGTATTGCCAATGTTGCTGGAGAAACCTTGTACAATTTGTACCAACTAAACTGTGTTCCACACGTGGCCATGTGTGTTTATCTATACCTGTGTATAGTGTGTGCCATGCTGGTGTAGAGTATGTGCCATGCTGGTGTACAGCAGTGGTGTGGTGTAGTGTAGTGCCAGTCAGTGTCAGGAGGGGGTGGGTGGTGTGGTGGTATGGTGGTGTCAGTGTCAGGTCAGTGTCAGGGGTGGGTGGTGTGGTGGTGTGGTGGTGTACAGCAGCCAGGTGTAGTGCCAGTAAGTCAGTGTCAGGAGGGGGTGGGTGGTGTGGTGGTGTGGTGGTGTACAGCAGCCAGGTGTAGTGCCAGTATGTCAGTGTCAGGAGGGGGTGGGTGGTGTGGTGGTGTGGTGGTGTACAGCAGCCAGGTGTAGTGCCAGTATATCAGTGTCAGGAGGGGGTGGGTGGTGTGGTGGGGGAGAGGGAAGGCTCCATACAACATGGCCAGGACATACATGGGCATACAGTTCATCAGTATAACAAAATGTGTCACAAGTCATATATGGTACATGACAGATTCCCTCTCTACTACATTAGGTGATCTTCACTCCTGGCAAACAAAGTCATGTATCATGGAGGAATGTATCATGGTACAAAACAAAGTCATGTATCACAGAGGAATGTATCATGGTACAAAACAAAGGTCATACAGTTCATACTCCACGACAAAGCTCAAAGCAAAACATTGAATACACTTCATGAATTAACTATGTACACATGCACAAATATTACTCATCCTCTGTCAACTTGTCCTCAGTCTACCCACCCCCTGTCACCCACCCCTGTCTACTCACCCCTGTCTACCCACCCCTGTCTTCCCACCCCCAGTCCCACCCGTCCCCCCTGTCTACCCACCCCTGTCTACCCACCCCTGTCTGTCCCCTGTCCACCCACCCCTGTCTACCCACCCACCCTCTGTCTACCCACCCCTGTCTACCCACCCCTGTCTACCCACCCCTGTCTACCCACCCCTGTCTACCCACCCTCTGTCTACCCACCCTCTGTCTACCCACCCCTGTCTACCCACCCTCTGTCTACCCACCCTCTGTCTACCCACCCCTGTCTACCCACCCTCTGTCCTGTCTACCTCCCTGTTTGTCTACCCACCCTCTGTCTACCCACTTCCTGTCTACCCATCCCCTGTCTACCCACCCTCTGTCTACCCATCCCCTGTCTATCCACCCTCTGTCTACCCACCCCCTGTCTACCCACCCTGTCTACCCACACCCTGTCTACCCACACCCAGTCTACCCCACCCTGTCTACCCACCCCCTGTCTACTCCCCCCGGTCTACCCACCCCTGTCTACCCACACCCAGTCTACCCACCCCCTGTCTACTCACCAACATGAGAAAGCCACCAAAGGCCAGACAGAAGACGAGTGGTCCGGCCAGATCAGTGTCCTGCATGATGTCATGGTCCGTGTTCTTCAGTGGATTCAGTACGGCCGTTGTCTGCAACATAGAAACAACACAAGTTAGATAATGACATGGATAACTCATGCAAAAGTTCACAATATTTTCAGTAGTGTTGTCCGCTGCAGTAAAGTTCTGCCCTGCCCAGGTCAGCATGTGTGAGCCTGATATCTGTAGAAAATACATGTAATGGAGAACATGCACTAAATTTACACCAAATCAAGTCTGTGCAATACATTTAGTAAGTTTCTTTAGTGACAGTATCAAACAAAAACAGAACCACAAGGCGCTGCAGCTCTTTTGAATTATGAAATATTAATGGCTGCATGTTTAGAATCTGACTGAAATTCTGTGCACTGTTTTCAGATGTCATCTGTTTCTGCGAACATCATGTATTATTTATCTATATTCAAAATGAAAAAGAAAACATGTTCCCTACTTCCGCTGTTAAATTGCTGTTCTCCATACACAGAAAGAGAGAGTGTTTATCATGAAGACAGTTTCACACCTTCCGCCATCCAGACAGTTATAAATGCTGCATGTACACACCTCCACAGACCAATAATAGACAGTGTCAACTCAGTGGTCACCTGGGGCTCGTGACAGACAGATAGACCACAACGGTCTGACCCACAGCCAGACAGCACATCGATGGTAACCCAGCTGGGAGTTGTTTGTGCACTTTGTTACCCTCTGTCGTAAATAAATGACCATCCTGACTTAATGACAACCGTAAATGAACAATAAAAAACACATCAGAGGCATTCAATCAATCAGATGCTTGTTTTTTTGTTCCAACTATAGATCATGCAAAAAGAACTTCTGGATGTTAAAGATTGTTATCTGAAAAACTAAAGGAAGTGATGTTTCAGCTTCAGGCAGTATGTGTAAACTAGAAAACACACTGACATTATTTAGAGGAACTCTTGGTGAATGAAAGTGTCTTAGTCCTGATCCAAGTTAAAAATTTGCCCTGTTTCTTTTATCTCTGCTGACCGATCCAACATAACTTAACTTATTTTTTACAGTTTCAGATGTCCATTTTTTTCTTCAAAATTTATTGACTACACAATGCCTTGGTTTTCCATTAGCTCCGTGTACAAAATAACTAAAGGTCTGCCATTAGTTAACAAACTCTCATAACCAAGACCCCAAAAAACCCTAAGACTTTAAAATATTCCACTGAGGACTACTTTTTTTCGCCCATGACTCTTTAGACCGAGCACAAGGCTGCTTCATCATTCTTGTTGTTGCAATGGCTGACATGGAGGAAAATAGCTGACCTTGCACCTTTAACTGACACCACGGTTTGTTCAGTTTGAGGAGATCAGGTGCACACTAGGGAAACCTACAGTTTTTTATATCTCCAGACTAAAACTGAGATATTGACTGAGGTGTGCGTGTGTTTCTGTAAAACCAGTAACACCTCTAATGAGACTGGCTCTGGCTGGGGGAAAACCTCATGTCATTAGGCAGCTCCCCCTGGGACGATATGTACCCTGTCAAGCAACACTACGCTTAGATGGGGAGGAAATATGAACAGTTCTTCAAAAAATTGCTTTTAAAAATCTTTAGAAAAGTCAATAAGTTGATTTTCAATTTGGCTTCCTGTTCATGAGATGTACAAGAGGTTGGTGAAGTGGTACACTCAGATGCCAACGGAAGGGTTCTGACCGAGTCGATTGATGGATGGCATGTGTGCAACAAAGGATGGCTCTCAGAGGATTTCAAAATATTTAAACTGAAATTAAAACAAGTGAAAATTCATGTTCTGCTCATCAGTTTTTGTCTGTGAATAAATTCAAAAACATTTTGCGTTCATGATTATATTTCATATCAATTACAATGGCTGTAACTCTACTATGAACATTATCTGTTATGTGTGAGACAGAAACAGCACTGCTGAATGGTCTTTGTAGGAACACCTGGACAACATTTGGTCCCGACAACCATACAACCATACAACTATACAACCATAATATACAACCATAAAACTATACAACCATACAACTATACAACCATACAACCGTACAACTGTAGACTATTACAATCATGCAGAACTAAAACCACATACTACTTCAACCATACCACCCGTGAAGATCCTGTTCAGCAACCCATGCTTGTTGGAAGAGGCGACTAATGGGATCAGGTGGTCAGAATTCGCTGACTTAGTTGACACTTGTCATCGTATCTCATTTGCATAGATAAATGCTCATGATGTTGATCACTGAATTGTCTGGTCCACACTCAATTATTTACAGCCAGCCAGCATATAGCTGGAATATTGCTGAGTGCAGCGTTAAACTACAAAACCAACTTCAACCATACAGCTGTAACTACACCACTTAACCAACTGTACAAGCTACAACTGGACAGCAATACACCACTTCAACCATACAACTGTACATCATTTTAAAGCTACAACTGGACAGCCATACACCACTACAACCATACAACTGTACACATCTACCACCATACAACCATGGGCGGCTACAATTGGACAGCCATACACCACTACAACCATACAACTGTACACATCTACCACCATACAACCATGGACGGCTACAATTGGACAGCCATACACCACTACAACCATACAACTGTACACATCTACCACCATACAACCATGGACGGCTACAATTGGACAGCCATACACCACTACAACCATACAACTGTACACATCTACCACCATACAACCATGGACGGCTACAATTGGACAGCCATACACCACTACAACCATACAACTGTACACATCTACCACCATACAACCATGGACGGCTACAATTGACAGCCATACACAACTATACAACCATACAACTGTACACATCTATACCACCATACAACCATACAACGGCTACAATTGGACAGCCATACACCACTACAACCATACAACTGTACACATCTACCACCATACAACCATGGACGGCTGTAGACTATTACAATCATACACCACTAAAACCATACACTACTTCAACCATACCACCGTGAAGATCCTGTTCAGCAACCCATGCTTGTTGCCATACTAAGCAGGGATCAGGTGGTCAGAATTAAGCTGACCACCAGTTGACACTTGTCATCATATCTCATTTGCATAGATCAATGCTCATGAGGTTGATCACTCTACTGTCTGGTCCACACCAATTATTTACAGACCGCCAGCATATAGTTGGAATATTGCAACCATACAGCGTTAACATCTACAAACCAACAACCATGGATCTGCTACAATTGGACAGCCATACACCACTACAACCATACAACTGTACACATCTACCACCATACAACCATGGAGCGGCTACAACTGGACAGCCATACACCACTACAACATCCAAGGAAGTGTTGAATCAACTCCCACCATACTCACAAATCATCCTAATCTTCCTGTCATAGCTATATCTACTGGTGTTGTTTCATGGCTGACACAACAAGCAGATGACAGAACAAGAAGCTGCTGAGTCAGCATGTTTATGTATCTCAAACTTGTGTTCAACCATTCTCAGGATTGTAGCTTCTCCCAACATATCTCCATCAAACAGGTCTAGTATCAGTCTCACCTCATCACTGCTCTTTGCAAATGCCAGAACAGACTTAACACGATTAGGGAAACTTCTTCCCTCTTCTTGAGATAAACCCAGACATCCCGCCAACTGACACTGGGACTTGGGAAATCATACATTGGACAAGATGGCCATTTAATTGTCACAATGGCTGATGGGGTGATGACTTACACATTTCACCACCAAAAAGACATAAAGTAAACCATCATGGAATTATTATTATGTCATGAGTTTTGTGACATGGCACTGATGGACTTGGTCCAGTCAATGGCTGCATGACGAGTGTCCCAATCCTTGCAGGGCAACACACCATCACAGACATGGGTGGATGTTCATGCTATCTATCCCTGGTCTGTGTGGCACTGATGTGGGTGGTTACTCAAGCTGTCTATCCCTTGTTTCTAGAAACTATGATTCAAACTAATTCCTAGAAAATGTGTTGATTTTCTGAATCCTCCTCCTTACACAAAGATGCTTTGTTAGTTTCTCATATTTTCCTCATAATCCAACTGACACTTTCCAGAAGATCAAAAACTAGGTAGCACAAATATAATGATGATCATAAATGGACTTCAACTCTTTGAAAACATATCTTCCAGGTGTGATCAGGTGTGTTAGAATTACAGGATCCAATTATATGTTGACTTCTAAGAACAGAGTTGTCTTGAAATCCTTCTGTTTACGCTCCTCCCTTTCATCTGTGCGACAAGTCTACCTGACATGTTTGTCTGAAGCTAGTTAAGTCCGTCACAGTGCTGGTAATCCGCTCTCCTACACTTCAGATTCTCTGTCCACTAATCTGCTTGACCAGGTAGCCCTCCCAACCAGGCTGTGAACCATGCAAAATAGCTGATACCTGACCTCTGCCCCGACCTCTGCAACAACTTCAACTCCATCAGCTAAGACAACATTCTAGCATGTTCTGACTCTAACACTGTGGTAATCTAGCTATAAACATGTCAAGTTGGTACACATCTCCGTGCTAATTACTAAAGACAGTACGCAAGTGTTGACACAACTGATAATAGCCACGTAAATCACACTGTCCTCTGATTTCCCTTCAAGCTGTCCTCTGATTTCCCCTCAGCTTCCAAGGCCACTTTACCTGGCTGACCACATGTTTCAACGATCAGCCTGGTTGGAAATGTTTGCCCATAGCTAAGCGAGGATATGTCGTGTGGACAGTAGTATTTGGACAGCTATTAAAACTAGTGACAAGGCGCTCAGAATGTGCAGATGAATTAAGATCTATTTACTTGATTATAAAGTGTCAATGCTACAGAAAAACCAGACTTGATTAACTGCTCAACCAGATTCCATTGGGTGTAAAAAGCAACACACTCGTAAAATTAAAAAAATGGATCACTGAAAACAGGGACCATTGTGGTTTCTGCTGAAGTAAGTGATGACACCAGATGTTTGCTGTAAACAGAAAACAAGTCTTGCTCCTCCAGTAGTGCCATGACCATTTGCATAAAAAAG